GTGAGTGTGCAAGGGGTGTGCAAGGGGTGTGCAAGGGGTGTGCTCAGGTGGGTGGTGAGCGTGCAAGGGGTGTGCAATGGGTGTGCAGCAGTGTGCTCAGGTGGGCGGTGAGCGTGCAAGGGGTGTGCAGTGGGTGTGCAGCAGTGTGCTCGGGTGGTGAGTGTGCAAAGAGTGTGCAACGAGTGTGTGTGCAGTGGACACGCAATGGAAGTGCAGTGAATGAGTGTGTAATGGGCGTGCAATGGGCGTGCAACGAATGGGTGTGCAATGGGTGTGCAGAACGTGCTCAGGTGTGTAAAACTGATGTGCAATGTTTGTGCAACGCTTGTGCAACGTTCGCTCAACGTTCGTGCAACGTTGGTGCAACGTCCCTCCAGGCTGCGGGCGGTTCGGCGCAGCGATGCGGGTCGGTACCGCTGCTGGCTGCGGGTCGGAGCTGCGCTGCTGCCGTCCGAGGAGGGGACGCTGCAGGTGCACGGTGAGACAAAGCCCCTATTAAACACGTTGCGGGCAGCGCCGCCCAGCGGCCACACGGGGAACTGCAACGCCATGGGGAACAGCGGCGCCCCAGCGGCCACACGGGGAACTGCAACCCCGTAGGGAACAGCGGCCCCCATTGACCCTATAGGGAGTGGTGACCCCCCCTCTCCCACATTGACCCCCCCAGAGCTCATCCAAAGGACCCCACAGAGTACAGTGACCCAACCAGACACCCCGGACCTCTCCATCCCCCTCCAGAACCCCATAGGAAACAGTGACTCCTCCAGACTCCCCCCTGCTATTGACCCCATTGGGTACATTGACCCCCCCAGACCCCCATGACTCCATAGAATACAGTGACCCCCACGGACCCCCCCCAAATCCCCATAGAATACAGTGATTCCATAGAGTACAATGATCCCCACTATCCTCCCCCCAATGTTGCTGTCCCCCCTGATTTTGGGGTGTCCCCCCCAATATTGCAGTGCTCCCCATAATTTTCAGATGCCCCTTGCTCCCCTCCCCCCGCCCCCCCCAGGGCTGCCATATTTCGTATTGGAGCCTCAGGACATGGAGGTGGGGGCCGCCACCCCCTTCAATCTGAGCTGTGGGGCACGTGGCCCCCCCGACCCCATTCAGCTGCGGTGGTTGAGGGATGGGACCCCCCTCCCTGAGCCCCCCCCCGGAAACGATGATGGAGACCCCCCCTCAAC